ACCACATGTAAATTTGTTGTTGTAAGTTCTACTAGTGTCAACTCATTTGACAGAAAAATTTAAACAAACAAACAAATTATCATCAAATTATTTTTATTTTGAAAATGAAATATTTTCAAGTCCTCAAAATAAAAATTGAAAAACATGAATGGAAATCTATCAAATTTATATTTCCATCGCTTCCACATCTTTCCTATAATTTAGCCATTGCCATATATATGTATAACACATATGAAAATGCTGGGAATAGCGAGTTATTCCTTGAAGAAAGATTTGTTTCCTCAAACTTTCCCAGCAGGCAGATTGTGTAAATTGAATACAGGAGCACATTTAATAAAGAACAATTTCAAATTGTATGCGTTCCCAATTTTCCTGTTAGGTGATTTTTAAAAACATAATTTGTCAAATTCTTATTGACACTAGTATTACGTTGGAATCAAATCAGCTGGGATTTGCTGTTACCTTTTATAATTGTACCATGCATAGTTGTGTAGGGTATACAAATCGAACATATTTTCAACTATAGATGCTTGGGACGATCGGTCTACTCCTTCTGGTATCTTTCCCACAAAGCGTCAACATTTAAAATTTTGTAATTCCAATATCAAGTTAGTTGAGTGTCGATTTAATACAAACAATACACATCCTAGTACTTTTACCAAGCCTAGATATTGTCCGAAGACGGGATTAATCGATCCATTTCTATGTAGTGTCAAAATTTTGAAAATCAATACCTCGTTAATGGAATGTCTGCTTTGATCCAAACTTTGCCCCTAGTTATATTTTTACCAAACCTCCTTCTAGTACTTCCATACTTCATATGAAGCTAATGATTCGCTAATATACACATCCTAGTATTTTTACCAAACTCAGATCTATGTCAAAGATGAGACCTATGGATCCACCCCTTTTGGTAATATATGAATAGTGATCAGAAAGTGTTGCCAATGTCCGCATTTCTGAATTTTAAGAATCCAATTCATAAAACTTTAAATTCTGGTTTCTTATCGGAGGGGGTGACAAAAACAACTTTGTGCGCCACAGTGAGTTTTGATATGGCACAGAAACTCTTTGTCCTTTTGATTTTATGTTATAGTCTTCTTTGTTATATTTTCTCCTTTCTTTTTATTTATTTACTTACATGTTCTTGTTTTGTATCATTTTGAAATCATATACAAATGTAAACGTTCGTTTGGGCTCTTTGCTTATATCAACAATTGTTTGACATTTATATCGAAATTAGTTGGAAAATGTATATGCGAATTCTACAACACCAATTAAGAGGGTAGTAGCAGAGACTGAAATAAAGATATAATGGAATGTAAAACTAACCACAATCGAATGAATGGTGGTTGTTGGCAAGAGAAACATTCGTCAAAAAAAAAAGGTTACAGAACTAGCAATTTCCATGTAAGGGAAGACTCGGCTATACCAAAACACAATGAATATCGAATTTTTATCGGAGAAATTGGATTGGTTTTTGCCAAAGAGAGAGAGAGAGAGGGGGGAGATGAGTGCAACAAGTGGTAAATTAGAGAGAAGTAGTAGATATAAATAAAATGTTTTATTTGTATTCCAGAAAAAACTATGAATGAAATTATGAACATATTTATTAAAAATTTTTTTCTGTGTACAAAATACATTTATTAATATGTATGATGTACTACTTCTGTCCCGTTTTTCCATAGCCTCCCATATAAAGATACTCCCCAATTTTAGATCTTTTAAATATTTTAGCACAATTTTCCTAATTTAAGTTTCTTTAATTTCATACTTTGTTTCAATATTAAAGTTTCAATTTTGGGTTCTGATTGGATGACGAGTCTTCATAAAAAATACCAATATTGCGCCACTTTCTGGGCATTTTCGTCGATTTGAAAATGTTTTCCTACCGATATGACTGACTTCCTCGCAGAAGTAATTAATATTTCCATATGCAATTTGCTATAATTTGATACTTATTACAATATCGGTTTAGGTCAATATTTTTCAATGTTCTAGACATTAGAGATTATAACAAATATTCGCATTAAAATTTGCTGACATTTAGTATTTGTGGTGCATTGGGATTACAACATGCCTTTGGAGAAAATTGCCGACTGACGATCCAGCCCATTATTATTATTACATAAATTACATCAATAGTCGTGGCAGTATAATATAGTTCCCAGAGGTGTTGGATATTTTTATTACAGAAATCAGTAAAATTATGGTGAATATCTTTGAAAAGTTGACAAATTAATAATTTTGGCGCCCAATAGATTACAAGATAACCTTGGATAAACTAAAGATTCTACTGACATTAAAGAATTGAAAAAAATTAGAAAATTAGCGGTAAATAAGCTGGTCGTGTCGAAAATATGAGCTATCCCGACATTAATTAATTCACATCATCCCGACATTAATTAATTCACTGTATTAATTTTTAGCCACATTGCAAATGATTCTATGATGCAAATTTACTACAATCAAGGCTTCTATCATTAGAACATCTTTCTGACATTTTAATTTAAGTTTCTTTTTAGTCTTCACCGTACTTCCCCCTTTTCCTTTCATTTTATAAAATTTGAATTAACTTTAATTCTTCTACAAGCTTTGTAGAGTGTTAACAATGTTAATACAAAACTACCCAAAAAATTGCGCCAAAATTATTATTTTCTATAAACGTTGTTGTGGTCAAGAAGTAATGCAGAGCAAATTATTATAGCCAGTTTACAGCTTTAGATGACCTCTTTAATGGAGTTTTAGAAACTTTAATTAAGAAAAAAACTGCTTCCAAATACATAAATAAAACCGAAAAACACTTTCGATTTCTATGATGATCAAATGAATAACGGTAAAACAGAAAAAAAACCAAGAAAACCCAAAACATTAACAGCTGTTTCTTGCATTGCACATTCAAACACACACACACGTGTGCAATAAAGCTTGGGGCTGCCTGGTTGGGTCTCTGCATTTCTTGTATGGTGGGAACTTTGCTCTCAGTTTTACTGTGCAGAGAGAACAACTGTTACGAGAAAGAAATAAGAAAAATATAAAAAAACACACACAAGAGAATTTGTTTACAACAAAATTAAAGAAATAAAAAAACATTGGTTGGTCGTTGACGTTGTCGGCGACGCTGACGTCGATCTTCGTTATTACAGCACACTACTGAACAATGTAAGCAAAAGACAACGAAGACGACGACGTCATTTTTTATTACATTTTTTTCTTGTTGTGTTGTGTTTTTTTCGGTTGTCTGCTGTTGTGTTTTTTTTGCATTTGGTTTTTGAGTTTTCGGTGGGACGCCTTCAAAGCACCAGCTCTAAGAAGGCATAATTCATTCATACTTTGATAGTCCAACATTGCGGTAGTCTATATGCGCTTCTACAAAAAATAAGCAGCCCAAATAAATTTCGGCGTGTAATAAAACAACAACAAGAATAAAATTTTGAAAAATTAAAAAAAAAAATACCTTTACGAAAGTGCACTCACTCTTGGATATACGCCGCTTGCAAAGCCATCATCAACGGTTTGTTCGTATGTATGGTTAGTTCGGTCGGATGGTCGTTCGGTCGGTAGTCGCTCGCTCACTCAGTTGGTTTGTTTGGTCGATTAGATGGGCCATAGTTTTAACGGATGCGGACGCGCACTTCTTGTAAACGGGAGGTGGAAAAACGAATTTGAAGAAAACAGAAAGCAATAGAGAGACACACCACACAGTACACACATACACACACACTCTCATCGACACAGTGGTGGTACAATCCGCATAAGAAAAAAGACGAAATAATATAAAATCTGTTGCATCACTTGTGAAACACTTCAGTCGCATTGAGACAGACACAACGGTGAATACTACTGAAAAAATTTTTCAAAAAAATATAAATGTGCTAAAATAAAAAAATAAAATATTTACAAAAATAAATAACAACAATAGAAAAAGAAATTGAAAAATAATTTGAAAAAAAATTTTTTTCGAAAAAAAATTATTTGCAGTAAAAAACTTAACAAACAAAACCCCGCACTTTTGTTAAACGGAAACGGATGTGTCTGACGGAACTCTTTATCAAAATAATAAACCGTTAAATTATTTTATTGTAAAGGATATTCAAGAGACAAAAAATTAAAAAATTACCAAAGAATATTTACCTCTAAAAAATAAAATTGTGAATTTTGAAAAAAAATTGGAACTGATAAAAAATTAAAAAAAGAACTGAACTAAAAAAATTAAAAACAATTTTGTGACTTGAAAAAATTTGAACTGATAAAAAATTAAAATAAATATTTGAGACAAAAACAGAGCACCCTGGATATTTTCTGTTTACAATTTTCGTTCGGAGGATAATACAAAAATGCATATTTTAAACAATTTTGAAAACTATCAACAGCTGATTTTAAATAACAGAAATCGTTTTCAACATATTTGAAAAATAAAACAATAAAAAGAACAAAATATTTTTTAATAAAAAAGACAACCAACTTTGTGGAAATTTTCAATATTCAAAATTTCAAATAAATAGTAAATTAATAAGAATTAAAAAAAAAAACAGAAACGATTACTAAACAATAATTTAAAAATTAAATATAAAACTGTTGCAAAACACAAAGTGAAAAAATATATTATTATACAGTTTAAAAATAATAAAAATAAAAATTTCAAAAAATTATTTTTTGGAAAGGATTGATTTTAAAACAATTGGAAAAAAATTTAAAATAAAAAATATTAACTAGTGGCATTAAAATATATCATTTCAAAAAATAATACAAAAATTTAAATAAAAACAAACAAAAATATTTTGTGGACCTAACCTCAAAAATTCAATTTTAATGAGAACTATAAAATTTTAAAAATTCAAAAAATATTAAACGGAGACCTTAAAATGGTTTGAGGGCTATACAACAAGAAAAAATAATACAACAATAATAAGAACATAAATAATAAAAAGCGCGAAAAACCCTAACCTAAAAAGCCGAACTCTTTAAACACCCCTCCAAACATCAATTTTCTTTCTCCAAGCTGTCACGAAAAATCTCTTCAAAATTAATTCCTTCAAAATATTACCCTCATTTTCACAATTAAAAATGCTCAACATGGAATCACCGCAAATGTACGATACCGTACAGACCCTAACACAATTGGATCTGAAAAAGCAACCGCCTCCTCAACAGGCGATAATTGGTCAAATCACCCTGACCGCTATGTCCTCACAGAATACCAACAACACGAACACACAAAATAATTCCGGCCAACAGCAGCAGCAACAACAGCAACAGGATATCAACAACAACAATACCAATACCCAACAGTCGCTGGGTCTGGTAACAAATCCTGTAACCGCTGGGTTGGTTGGCAAACAGCATGCCATGCATCAAATGCAACAACATGCCGCAGCTGTCATGAACCAAAACAACAACAATGGTAATGGAAACAACAACAACAATCAAAATTCTCCCCTTAATGGCAATGTTAATCTATTACAAAAACAAATGCTGCAACAATGTGTCCAATCGGAATTGGATGAACTGACCGCTCAAGAGATCTCCTTGGATTTGCAACATTTGATCGATGATCAATTTCGTGATCAGGAAACTTTGGGAATTTTCAGTGATATGGTTACCTCCCCGGGGGTACTGTCAGCCACCTTGCCACCCAATGGTATGGTAACGGCCGCAGCCAAAGTTTTACAACAACACCAACTGCAACAGCAATCGTTGAGGACACAACAACATCAATATGGTCGCAACCCATTGGCCTATATGCCACAGGCGGTACACTCCAGTGCGGCATATAGCAACAATTCCAGTGATGAAAATTCCTCAGTGGGTTCGGAAACCTCCACCATCAAGGAGGAGCCCATAGATCCCGACTACAGACGCCACTTGCAGGAAACCAATGCCGTTAATAACGCCGCCGCCGCTGCTGCCTTCATTACCAATGGTGGTGGAGCCACAAATGGCCTCTACAATCCCTACCAAAATGTCAATGGCAACGGTGGCAATTCCAGTTCCAATTCTTCATCACAAAATTCCAATTTCAATACTCTTACCTCGGCCAATGTTTTGGCACATCATTCTGCCGTTAATTTGCCCCATCTGGCCGCTGGCGCCCATTTGCTCAAACATCACAGCAAGCAGATGCAGAATCAGCGTAAAACTTCGATGAAACATGTGGACAAGGGCACCGATGAGTATCGTCGTCGGCGGGAGCGTAACAACATTGCCGTACGCAAATCACGTGAAAAGGCCAAGGTCCGCTCACGCGAAGTTGAGGAACGTGTCAAGACCCTGCTCAAGGAAAAGGATACCCTGCTGCGACAACTGCAGGAGATGACCAATGAACTGCAGCTGCACAAACAAATCTACATGCAATTGATCAATCACAATAATCCCGAAGTAAGTCGGGTGTGTCGAAGTTTTCTCAATACCAATGATCATGGCTTGTGAAGGTAGATGGGGGCGGGGCTAGGCCTGTGCAAGAAAATAGCTTTCAGCATCTCCTTTATTATTATTTTCTCCTCATAGAAGAAAACAACCAGACTGTGTAATAACAAAAACAACAAAGGATGTAATGAAGAAGAAGAAATGTAATTTAATAATATTTTATTAACATGTTGGGGAGTAGCTTGGAAAAATCAAATCTCGTGGCAATATTTAACTTTTTTTAACAAAAACAATTTTTTAATTTTATTTTTTTTTAGCCTAAAAATCAACCAAAATAATTGTTTACAAATCATTGAAAAAAGGGCGGGTTAATTTTTAAGTTTCCAAAATTCTCAAAAAATATTACCACAAGATAAATAGTAGAGAAAAATAACAGTTTAAGAAGCAGAGGCATTCCTCCATATACCAGATATCCATCCATTTTTATATACACTACATATACCACAGACACATCATACATTGTTTTCTACACACATATATATATTTAAAAAATATTACATCTATATACAAAAAAATATTATTTACTTATACATATTATATATATTTAAAAACAAGCACGTACAAAAAAGCCGTTAATTTTTAAGCCGAACAATATTAAGAAGAAGAAGAAGATGAGCTATGCTTCTAGAAATTTCCATGTTGAGCAAAGAAAAACCAATTTTTACACACACACCACTCAAATAGTTAGCTTACCCATTATCCCAAATGTGAAAAAGTTCTCTTTGGAGAGCTTTACATAATTTTTTTATTAAAGTTTCAACAAGAGTTGTAAGAGAGTTGAGAATTAGAGAAGCGAGAGAGAGTGCGATACCAGACAGATATTTGCAATATTTCTTAATGTGATGAAATTTGAAGAGAACTGGGAATCACCAAAGTGAAGCTTTGCTATCATCAGAAATGATCGTCATTGCTTGAATTTTCATTTGGGCGCCAAATAATGGAACATAAAAAAATATGTGGATTAGTTCGTTTCAATGTTGATAAGACGCCCAAAATGGGGTTCATTCAAAATATCTGGAAGAAATTAGATTTTTTTTTTTTGGAAATTAATAATTTTTAATGAAAAATGGCGCCCAACATATATGCCCTAAACCTTTTGTTTTTGAATATAAAATATTTTGTGAACGATTTTAATTGAATATATCATTCATTAGATGAAACTCACTCGTCAGAAAATCGGAGCCCAACGTGGTGAAATTTAAAGAGAACTGTGAATCACCAAAGGGGTACTTTAGCTGTTAAGCTAAAAAATTAAAAAAAAAAAAAATAATTCGATTGAAAATTGGTATGACCCCAATCAATTTAACTTTTATTTTAATTAAAAAACAGTTTTTGGAAATTAATCATTTTTATTAAAATTTGGCGCCCAACATAACCCCAAAACATTTTTTGTTTGAATATAAAACATTTAATGAAGAAATGTATTGAATATATTATTCCTTAGAGGAACCTCTAACCATACATCATCTACGAAATAATATGGCGCCCAACTATATTTTCCATTCATACATTTACGTGGATGGAAACTCTGGTTTCCAATTTTTTGTTTCAAATGTTTTTTAACATGGATTTAAATTTTATAAAAAAAACTTCTTTCGTCAGAATTTCTGATTAATAGGAATTAATAGGAACATTTCAAAACAAACAAATTTGAATACACCAGTATTTGGAAGCGAGAGAAACTGTATAAAGTAATGATGTGGCGCCCATTGTATGGTTTGTCATATTGTGACTTTCGAACTTTAATTTGTTGGCTTAAATTTTGTAGTAATCAAATTAGAAAGAAATTTTACAATCACTTTTTGGAAACGAGAAAAAAATCTAGAGTAATGATGATATATTGAAATTTGGCGCCCAACCTAGGCAAAATCAGGAATAATTATATATTGAAATATGGCGCCCAAGTTTCATTTTTGCGATTTTTGCGAAAGTGAACTAGATGCTATAACGCTAATTTGGCGCCCAACGTTGATTTTGGAAACACTAACATTTATTAATAATAGCAGCTTATTATTTTTCTTCTATCTAAATTTTCGTTGGAGATTAATTTTAAAAATTACAATCCCCATTAAATGAATATGGCGCGGGTTGTAGAAAAACAAGACCATGAGTTTTAAACCCTGATGGAAGGCATCATAACACATGGCGCCCAACGTAAAATATTCACAATTTTCATTTAATTAAATTTTGTGTGCAGAAGAACATTTATAACACCTCATGGTTTATACAAAATGTCAGTCATATAATTCTCATGTTTGGTCCTAGTTGAGCCCTTTCATAGGAAGAGGTATCAAAATTATTGAATTGGAAATTCGTTGATACGGCAGTAGTACGTCCAGGTCCTTTCTAGTGAAGTTTTTATACAAAATTCCCAACGTGAAATTTAAAAAAAAAATCCTATAAAATTCAAGGATATAGTAAAAATAAAATTGTAGCGCCCAACGTGAAATTTTGAAAATTCCCAATCCATTAAAATATGAAGGTCTCTATATTTGTTGTTTCTTTGTGGAACCCAACTATCAACAATTTTATTTTAATTGAAAATTGGGTAGCCCATGGAACAATTAGTTGTCCATTATCGGAAATATGAGTCGGTTCGACATAACTCGTTGAGATAAAAAATTGCGCCCAACGCTTCAATTCGAAATACTTTACCTAGGTTTTCTTAAAGGATTATGGTGCCCAACACCATAAAATAAAGAATAACGAAATTGGTAATGGCGCCCAACGTGAATTTTAAGTGATAAAGTCGGTATTTATTTCAATATCTCATATTTAACACAATTATTTATTGTGGGAAAAATAAGTTTGACGTTTCTCCAATTGTTCAAAATATTTTTTAGTTCAATGGAAGTTCCGAAATAGTTGTTTTAGGAACCAACATTAAAACGGCGCCCAACTGAATTCAACTAGCAATGCCTTTTGCCAGTTTTGAATATTTTTTCCAGATTTGGTCCTTTGTTTTAATTAAAAAACACACATTTGTCTGTGCAATCTTTTTGTGGAAACGCATCTCGTGATTTATCAGCTCGTCGCATTTGTTTTCCATGGAAAAATAAACATAACATCTCTTTTTCTCTGCTCTGTCTACTCAACACTCCAACTACTCTTGTGAAAACCTGTAAAAACTCTCATCACCAGCATCATTATTGTACTTAAAAAAAACAACCCCAAAACAAAATACACAATATTTTCTGAGAATATATTAACAAATCATTGTACATTTTTTATATATAAAAAATTATTTTTTATTATTATTAATAATTATTAAATATGTTTGTTTATATATTGTTTAAGTTTACACAATTAAATAAAATTTATTACAAATTAAAAATTATTATATCTAAATTTATATTATTTACTATTTTATATATATTTAATATTTATAATGAAATTGTATGTATGTAGAAATATGTTAGTTAATGGAATGAAGAGAAAATGAAATTAATGTAAGATAAGCCAAAGAAATAAATAAAAAACAACAAATTATTTTACCAGACAAAATAAAGATAAATAAAAATTATTTGACAAAAACCCAAACAAATACCCCAATATTTTTTATGTTTGATAGGTAAAAAAGTAGAAAAAAAGTAAAGAGTAAAAAAATAATACATCAAGAGAGGATATGAAAAAATGAAAATCCAAATCAAAAATGCAACAAGACAAGCAGATTGAAATGAAAACAATTGCTTCAATTATATGTTGTAATATAAATAATGAGTGTAGAAATTATTTTGAAAACATTCAATGAATTTATCACAACAAAATAAAGCAATAAAATAATAGTTTTTGTTATTTATAATATTAGTTAATGATCTCCATATTATTGCAAGAAATTTGTTAAATAGAAAAAAAAATTGAAAATTTATTTGCAAATATTACAATTTGTTGAAATAATTTTCATATTTCATTTAAATCTTTGGACTCAATAAATAGTGGTTCTGAAGGTTTCATATCCTTTTTTTTGAGATTATTATTTATTTACCATATTTTTTTTCAAATAACTGTTAAATTCATGATTTATAAAAACACACAAATATTGCTTTATTTTATATAATGGTATACTGTAGTTGCTTTTATTGTAATATGCATATGTGAAATTTTCTCTTTCGTTAATTAGTTTTAGTTTAGTAAATTTTTTAAAATATATGAAAACAATAAAATCGAATTTTATGTATTTTCACAAATATAAATTTCAAATGTGTTTTTTTCAAATGCTATTAGGGCCTGGAAAATGTCTTAACATTCAGAACGTTTTTTTTTAATATTTACTTCGAAAAAAATATAGAAAAGTAAAATATATTCATTAATCAGTAATTAATCAGTAAAGGATTTTTTAGAAAAAAAATAATATTTCCATGTCACTTTTAGCATTTCGATTTTCGAGATTTTTTGCCAATGGATATATTAGAAATTTGGATAAGATCTTCATAAAATGACACAATTGCATAAAATCTATGGTAAAAATTGGACTTTAATCAAAAATAATGGTTATTTTTTTGTGTCACTTGAATTTATAATAACGCCCTAAGTATAATTAATTTTCGATTTTATTAAATCCAAGGTATATAGTAGGCCATCATGGTTTAACAAAATTATAATATAATAATTTTCATGCAGTAGCATTGGCTGTAATAATTTGTATACCCTCAGCCTTATGGCTAATGATGGTATATACACATTGATGCGGTGAAAATGTGGTTCATCGAAGTATTGATTTTATACCCCATGTTTCTCTGGACCAAATCCGTTTCAGAAAATTTGGGGTCGCATGTCCGTCCGTTGTCCGTCTGTCTATCTTCCAAACATAGTTTACCTCCCCCACAAAAAGGTCAAAATTGAGCTAAAAATTAATTTTATAATAACATGCAAACGGACTATCCGATTTTAACAGAATTTGTGTACAGCCTATTATCTTTACCAAGCCTAGATCAAGTTTGAAGATGAGACTCATTGGTCCACTCTTTCTGGTACTCCCCCACAAATTATCAAAATTTTCAATATTTATAATACC